AGAGTTGAGAACAGCTGATCACTAAGGAAGAAAATGCTTTTTATGGAACTATTTCTGTGCACAAATAGTGAATCACTTTTTCTACCAGTCATGTTTTCACAGGACCTGGCATTGCTCACAGGTTTTGCAGGATCTCCATTATCATCGTCATTATCTAATGGAGACCAAAAACGTCATCCAATAAACTCTGAAAGAGTTAGAAAGCACTTTGAGTAACTTTTTTAAAATTATATTTATAATTCTGATGTAAGAGACCGTTTTTACTGCCAATCTGACTAAATTCAAAGTTTATTTTCATTAGTCTTGAAATAAAATTGTGGTTTTGGTTTATAAACTGAATCCATAACTTTAATGTCAAAAGGACTTTTTGAAAATGGCTTAATTAAAATACTACAAGTTAAGTGCCAGAAGATAAACAGCTGGTGGCGCCAGCTGTTAACCACAGCAGAGGATGGAGGCGCATCCAGGCCTAATCCCAATTCCGCCCCTTGGCTCTGCCCCTCTGTATGTGGAGGCAAGGCGTCTCTTTTCTTTAGGAGAGCAAGAGGGAGTCATCAGCTAGCCATTCCAACGGTCTTTAATACCAAAAATGAAGGGCTGGATTGCAGCAATATTAATAGGCCATAGGCTGAAGCTCAAAATGTGTCTAGAAATAGGATTTCGCTCCACTATCCTGGGGACTACTTTTCGATAGCACTTTTCCAATCTTGAATATGTACTGGAGCTGGGAAAAAAAGTTCTCCGTGGGATTCCTGCCAGTATTTGAGAAAATGGGTGCCAAAGGTGGCAGTTTACCCAAAAAAGTGACGATTTTGGGTCTTGTACCATTTTCAAACCCTTGTAACTTTTTTATTATTAAGCCGATCGTACTCAAATTTCTTATTCCCACAGACATTCATACTTACTCAGAGCTTCTAAAGCGGCAATGTTCTGCGTGCTTTAAGTACGGAGTTATTCTAAATGAAAACATACACTTTTGAACAACTTCACAATCTCCCAAAATGTATCTTTATTGCACATGAAAATTGCAATTCTTTGAATTTTCAATTGAAAAATTCTAATTGCAAGATATCCCTTTGTGTCTGGTTAACTAATAACTATGAAAAGTGGTGTAAATTTTATCACCTAGCAAACCAGTTACAATATAGGCCAAAGGCTGAAGCTCAAAATGTGGCTAGAAATAGGATTTCGCTCCACTAACCTGGGGACTACTTTTGATAGCACTTTTCCAATCTTGAATATGTACTGGAGCTGGGAAAAAAAGTTCTCCATGGGATTCCTGCCAGTATTTGAGAAAATGGGTGCCAAAGTGGCAGTTTACCCAAAAAAGTGCCGATTTTGGGTCTTCTACCATTTTCAAACCCTCGTAACTTTTTTATTATTAATGCGATTGTACTCAAATTTTTGATTCCCACAGACATTCATACTTACTCAGAGCTTCTAAAGCGGCAATGTTCTGCGTGCTTTAAGTAAGAAGTTTCTCTAAATTAAAACATACACTTTTTAACAATTTCACAATTTCCCAAAATATATATTTATTGCACATGAAAACTGCAATTCTTTGAATTTTAAATTGAAAAACTCTAATAGAAAGATATCCCTTGTGTCTGGTTAATTAAAAACTATTTAAAGTGGTGTGAATTTTATCACCTAGCAGACCAGTTACAATATTGGAAGCAAAATTTTCGGAAATAACTATAAAAACTAGAAGAATCTTCAAGTAAATGTATACTGTTTATTCAATGGATCTGATATCAACTTAAGCAATCATGGAATTAATGAACAAATAATAACAAAAATAATAGTAACAACCCCCCCCCACACCACCACCACCACTCCATTCCCACACCAACAAGAGTTACTTCTTCTGTTTGTTGCAACATTTATGAATATTTACAGAGAGAATTAATCATCTTCAGAAAAACTGAAAGAGAATAAGAAGCCTACATATAATTTTTCAATTACTTTTGAACAATTCTACCAAGCACTAAGCATGCCAAAGTTGATATCTCCCAAATTTTATACATGTACATATATAATTATAAAGACCGATTCTAACCATTTATAAATCTCCACTCAGTAACTATTGACAAATGGCAATAGCAATGATAACATGATTTTGAAAAGGGGTAAAGTTTTCAGATGCCTCATAACCATAGGAAGAATAATAATCATAATTATTGATTATTTATGAGAACAATGGAAAGTATTAATATCACAACATTAAAAAATGAACTCTTATTTATAAGTTACAAGATTGTTTTTTTTTACATTTACTACAAACTTCAGTTAACTATGGACAAATATTCAAATTGGTTTTCAGAAATGAAATGGTTTCAATCAGCTAACCCGTGGGTTGTGAATTCACTCCTCTGAGGCAAGACTTAATATGGAAATGTACAGGGAATTAAAGAAGGCACAAAGACATTTCTGTTTTTAAACAATTACTTTTGTTGGACCCAGCAAGCCTTGAGATGTTAAACTTTTTAGGATCACTTCGGGTTGTTACGACTTGAGAATTACAATAGAAAATACAAAGAAACTATGAATCATCAAAATCATAGGAGGGATAGGAGTCTCCTCCTATCACTTCCTGCAGGTGTTCCTAGAGCTGTGGAGTCTGGATCTGTGATTGGGAGTTTCCTGCTGCTCCGTGTTCCTGCTCTGCTATTACTCTGCATAGTGCTATTTCTGTCATAACTCCTATCATTATCATTAGTATCAATATACATAAAATTGAATTGAATTGAACTTTCGTTGTAGAACCGTTTGTGCTAACGGACTTCAATTGCGACACAATCTTTTCCACGTACATCCTTGAGGATGGATTCGTCCATTTTCACTTCAGCTGCATTAACCAAACTCCCTAGCAAAGAGAGAGTTAAAGTTCAATCATAAACCAGCTGCCAACAAATAATATCAAATACATTTTCTCTGTTTTACCAGACTGAACTGGTAGTTGGGTGACAAATTTAAAAATCTAACCATTATTTGACGAATCAATTAATTGCCTATCATCACTTCAAGTTCATAATAATGCCTTTTATTATTATTGAGGCCCTACACATAGCCTTCATACCCCTACTTCATAATGAAGGCTAGGGCTGGCAACAATTACACATGCATTTTTCTTATCAACAAATGTATTACTTTAGCTTTTGATTATAAGCCACAAACAAAGATGCTGTCTGCATCTTTGTATTTATAGTTTCTGCTTGGACCAATTTACCTTTCTTTGCCTTGTGTCCCTCCGCCAACGTGCGGTCAATTCCGTCCATACACTTACGGCCACATACGACCAGCTCCTTCCACGAACAACTGTTAGTGGCTGTGTCCGTTCTTTGTCTACCGATTATATGTGTGTGATGCACATATAATCCTCATTTTTCTTGCGTTTTTTGTCTGATCAACGGAAACGCGCAGCTCCACGGGAGCAGCCATGTTTGTTGTTGTTCTTCTGTTCTCGCCTCTGAATGGGAGAGCGCACCTGAAGGACGCGCTCTGATTGGCTGACGGCTAGGCGGCTTGATTCGACCGTATTTTACCGGTGTGATCAGGCTACCGATATAGTTACATTTTTAAGTAATTATTGTAAAAATACTGGCGCAAAGCGATTGGAGAACTTTTGGTTATGAGCTCAAAATGCACTAAGGATTTTTTTGCAGGTGTCATTTAGTAGTCCCTCAATAAGTGGAGCGAAACTTAACGATACAGGCTTCAGCCTATGGCCTATAAGTTCCATGAGGGAAAAGGGGCACCTAGCCTCTACAGAACACAGATTTAAGGGTGGGGAATGGTTAGGGGTGGAGGTGAGGCCTACACATTTAAATAAGCAGCAGTCAAAACCCAAAATGTGGGACAGGATTAGAAATTGAAATGTAAAAATATATCCAAAACAATGTTTGAGTTAGTTATTTTTACAAGATCACTACAAACACAAAATGAATGTACAAGTATCAAGCCATGTTGTCTTTCTCCACTGAAGAGTGCTTATATGTCCACTCCAGTCAACAGGAAGACCAATAAGCCCAGAATGTAATGTTTCTCCTGCAAACTCAACAGGAGGAAATCCTGCGTGATAGCACCGATGATGACTACTGAACGCCTCGGGCTGAATCAAATGAAACAATGAGCCCAGCTTAGTAACAACGCACAACATCCCTTAAACACACACACACACACTTTACTGGCATATTATCTTTAAACATGAATGAGTCATGACTAACAATTGGCCTCCAGTAGAGTGTGGAGAGAAGAAAATAAGGCATGTTTTCTTAAGTGGTTCAGTGGCAACGTTTCTCCAATAGAAATCTAAGGTATGAAGTTAGATGGAAAATCGTCTGTCATCAAGCCCCTGTCAAATCACAACCACCGGAATTCAAAACACGATTAGTACATTTTCAACTTTTACGCAATGACATTCAAACGCATCGGCACAGAAGATAATGCATAAAGATAGGGGCAATAATATCATCTTTTCCATGATTCCAGGGCTTATGACAATTCATCAGCTTAAATGATAATAGCTATATGCTTCCTGAGCATTTCGTTGCGGTTGCCGTCTCTAATAAAAACTTGTATAATGAGACGGACGCACCCCGGTGTACCTCACCGCAGAGAGATGAACCTCGGCCAACAGCTCCTCCGGCTGCACCCTGCCTGCGCATGTGCGCCTCCTAAAACACATAAACCCCCGGCACAGTAGCCAAAACACCGAGCCGAATTAAACGCTTCCAGTTCAGACCACCGCGGAGAGAAAAGTGTTTAAATTCAAACAGGTTCTAGGTGTTAAAGCCGGAGTGTTCACAGAAGAAAAGAAATCCACACTGTATATGTCAAAACACGATGACCTATGATAAATATTTCTCATCTCACACAGAGAGCTGACGATCAATGCCACCTGCGGACAAGCGCGCACAGAACAAGTCATGAGTTTAATTATCTTTTTCCAAAAAGAGAGCATGTCTGGAAGGATGGATGGACATGTATAGATAGATTACCTTTGTAGGACAGTCTCAGTCGTGGCACATTAATCTTGGTTGCGGAGACGGTGGCGACCAGAAGCGCAAGAATAATCATGTTGAAGAAGAAAGGTGTAAATCCCTTCATTCTTCTGACTACGCGTCCTCCTTCTTCACTGATGCTGAATTTCCTGCATAAAAACTCATTAAAACCAAAGAAACTTTGGAAGGTATATTTGATATGATCCCTCTAATCACGGTGCCTGCATTTGAGTTTTTTCGGGTAACTGTCCCTGCGCGTAAAGTGGATCGGTTGGATTTCCTCTCCACTCTGCTGAGGAGATTCACTGACTTGGCTCTAAAGGCTTTAACAGTTCACTTCCAGCAGCAGCCCAAGAGCAGCCTGCTCCAGCCAGGGAGAGAGAGGGGGAGAGAGAGATACCACGCCTTTCCAGCGGAGAGAGTCTGTGGCTCGCAGAAACTCGCCCCTCCTTTTACGCATTACAGGCAGCGCTCTCCAAACAAGGTGCACCTGGATGAGCGAGCCCACGGATGACTCATGAGGCAACCTGTCCTCATATTAGGCTAAATCTCTCAGCAAGATGATCAGAGAAGCCTTAGTAGAGACGACATGAACACGTTTTTACGGGTTTGACCATGTTCCAAATGTTCAACTTCTTTTAAGAAATATTCGAGCATTTCTGTGTATATTTAACAAATGTTTATTTTCACGTTTGAAAATTGATCTAAACACGAATGAGAAAATGCTACAAAAGCAACTGATTTACAGTCAGAGCAAACTCAGGATGAAATTCTAAACATTCTTGAAATAGAAAACACTGTTCATATTTTCTGAATGTGATAAAAACGTCCTGTTGGCACAAGTTCCTGTTTTGTGTGTTTGTAGTGTGTCTGTGTTATTCTTAAATAGGTCCAGGTCTCCTTTTCAGAGTTTTACTCTCTTTTAGTAATGTACATTTTCATTCTTCTCATTTCAAAGTGTATTTTCGCTTCTGTTTGGCACGGTTTACCAACCAAAATCTGCCCATCTTTGGATAAGCTTTGGATGACATACATAGTGTCCCATAGACAAACAGGGTTCCTCGCAGTGGTGGGGGGGGTGACGTGTTGAGAACAAAGCTGAAGGAGCCGAAGAAGTAATTGGAGGGAGGGGGTAGACACCATCTTATCTATCTATTGCAACAAGGACATCAAAGGTCTCGTTGGTTAATGAGTTGTAAATGACAAAAAAAACAGATAATGCGCATCTCCATTTCAACATTTATCTACCCCTCCGAAACATTTGTGCACATGACCTTCTTTAACCCCTGCGCCACCATTGTGACTTGCTCGGTAGTTTAATTAAGTTGTGGGGTACCTTTTCAATACCTCCCTCCTACATGAATCTATTCATAAGCGAGCCTCTAAATGCACACAGGGGTCATGACAAAGCGAGAAAGAGCCATTCAAGGTGTCAGTGCGGCTGCAACCCCGTGTCTTCTGTGAACACTTGTCTGTAGCGGGGAGGAAACTCCCATACACGGTCCACACGGGGCTAAGAGGCCGAGGGTGGGAAAGCAGAGGGGTGTCAGGGTGTTGCTGGGAATGATGGGGGCTCTGAGCAACAATGCACCTCATATCGGAGCTGTCCCGAGGACATTTCTTTTTCTTTTGTGCTGATGAAGTTGTGCTTATTCATGTTTTGAGAACTTTTCATCTCATGGCGGATGCGTGGAGTCACACACACGTCAGCCGTGTGCTCACAACAGAATAACACCAAACACAACCGTATCAAATGTGTTTTTCATGGATACTTTGCAAAACCTCTTGATTTAGACATAAAATATCACTGAGAAAATGAACAAAATATATCTCCCTGTTTCTAAATGAGACCACAGACTGGATAGCCTCCGTCCCATTCCAATGATGCACCGCTCCTTGAAATTAAGATCGTGTTTCAAATAAACACTGATGCTTACTGATGAAAAAAAGATGTTGCTTCTTGTATATCTCTTCATGCATCTTTTTTTTTTAATCTTTCGTGGGATAGCTTGTTTGAAGGATTCTTCCACTTGACGTTCTCTGGTTTCATGTAGCCAGAAACCATGAAACGTTATCTGTGTCTGCCTTTGTTTTGCTCCGTGAAGCGATACAGCAGAAACAGAGCTAAATCAGACTCAACAGTTTTGAACACAACACAAATCCCACACGGAGGCCAGGACAGCCATGGAGTTCATGATACTCAGTTTGACAAGGTAATCATCAACTGAAACAAAAGTAAATGTTCCCTCTCCCTCTCTAAAGAGAAAATAAAAGTTTGTTGGAGCTGTAAAATGGATATTACTTTCTTTTTTCAACAATTTGAAACTGCGGATAAATTTGAATTGTTATCGGTGCTGTTTGCTGTAATAAACAGACAATTTAATGGCTACAACTTCTGCAGCTTACAATGCTAAGCTTTCTTTTTTTGTTCTGTTTACTGGTCTTTTGCATATTTTAGAACCATCAAAGACAAATTCACGGCCAACTGAAGTTACTTTGATTGGCGCCCTTTCTGGGGTGAAGTGCTCTCAGACCTCGGGGGCTCGTGATTGGATAACATTTGTCCAAATGCAGATTCGTTTTAAAAGGCAAACAGACGTGGGAACCCAGCAGAAGAGGCCACAAGCAGGGTAAGTGCTACAGAGCTGAATTAATTAATCTGTAAGGCCACAGTCATTTTACCATCATAGTGAATAACTGTTCCTATTATTTGTCAAAGGAACTAGTAACTTAAAATGACCTGAGTAGAGAACCAGAACTTTAAGTATAACTTATAAGAGGAACTTGAGTAGCTTGAATGATTAAACAAAATGAATTTCCTTGGCTCTGTTTTAGTCTTTGCTTGTCTAACCGTGTCTCTGAATTCCTGGGTGTCATTACCAATCACCAGCAACACTTATGTGGTTTTCAAACATGGTGCTTGCTCTCTCAAATCCCGCAAAAGATTCTCTTGTGTCTTTGACTCCCCATCCAAACTACTGAATATTGTAATTCATTCTGAAAGGTACACCATACTCCTCTTAATTTGGTCTCTCTTCAAAACTGCACTGTCTGACTGAGGGGACTTTTTTTTGCACCTCACAAAATTCTCACAGGATTAAATTATGCTCTTCTGGCTGTCAGGACAGATGAAATGTAAAACTATTTACAGTGTCTTGACATTGCATCACTTTGACACGTCGGGCTGCTGCTCCTTGAGCGCTGATTGGGAATGGCAGGGCAGAAGTTCATGAATTCACAATGTGGGAGGCAGGGCAGAAATAATGAATGGAGATCAATTTTGAGGGAAAAGGCAAGGAGACAGGTGGTGTTTTTGTGTATGGGCCTCTGGGCTCATAAATGTTTCATCTTTCTCGGTAAATAAGAGCACAAAGTCATGTAATGGACTTTGCTTGAGTGGAAACAGGAAAGGACAAAGTGACTGGAGAAAGGGGCTTTTAATAGAGAAATATCAGAGGTGGGCCATGACGGAGAGTGTTGTCCATTCCAACTTACATTGTCCCAGCTATTTATAAGACACTGTGTGTATCAGTGAAGATACATACTCTAAAGAGTGATCTGCACCTAACTCTTGTTATGTAAATGTAGGCACAGGGTTTCTCAGCTTTATTTTCTGACAGACATAGTCATCATGTTTGGATGACATATCATAGCATTAGCTAGCTTGGTAGCCATTGGAAAAAATTTGGAGTTGTGGTTCAGGCAAAAAAGTGCCAGGACCAACTGATTGGTAGAAATGGAGGATCCTGTAAATCATTCTCTTTCTCTTTGAGTCTTTATCTATCTTTGGTGGTGTAATGAGGCTCTGGTTTAGTTATCTTTTCCTTTGAAACCTTAAGAAATTAAATGGCCAGAAAGAATCTAAGTAGCAAAAAAAAGGAAAACTCTACAAAGGCTTGGGAAAGCAGCTTTGGTGTTTCCTTTGTTATCTCCTTGAGCATTGAAAACACTGATACAGTACAGTAGAACCTCTACTTACGATTGCCTAAATGTACAAATTTTCCAACATACGAAGTGAAATTTTATTAAATATTCAACTCGACACCCGAAGTAAATTTCCAACGTCCGCAACGAATTAAATTCGTAGGTAGAGGGTCTACTGTATTTTTCAAATGGGTTAGAGACTATTTACAGTGCCAATTTCTCATTTTAATTTATGCATGTTGTCTTTATGCAGATTTGGTGAATCAAGATAATGTGCTGACCTTTCATCTGATATCTGACAAAGCTGCGGTATGTTCATCTTGTTGGGCGAGGGGGTGGGGGGGTGGGGGGGGCCTCTGCAGATCTGTTGGCACACCAGCAGGTCTCACCAGGCCCAAGTAAAACCTTCTATAGGATCAAGTAAACCCCGAGCCAAAATACAAGGTAATATCTCCAAATTGCAGCCTTTCTCGCTGCATTTTTTGATCTCGACTTTGTTGTTTATATTGTGCTGCTGGCTTAACGTCTGAGGTTTTAGTAGAATAAACAGCTTTCATCCAAGGTAATTGACAGTGCAGTGAGTCATTCACACACACGCATAGAATAAAGCAATTTTAACCGTGTCCGGGAAGATCAGAACAGTAAATCTGAAAATTGTGTTTTTCTTTCTGTACAAAGACTTTGAACAGGCACTTTGAACTGCACGACTTTGATGAGATGGATGCCAGGTCTCATCTTTAGCCGGTAAACCTACTCCTGAAAATGAAAAATAAAAATACACTAGTTTGGCAATAAATTGTGACTGCATTTTATTTTGTCTCAAAATATTCCAAATCTGTTCCACATCTGTGCATCTTTGCCTCAGATGTGTGAGGTAAGCACTGGCATGAACACGAGGGATGCCGAGAGCGAGGCCACAGTACTGTTCTCTCCTCGGAGGCTGTGCTTCCTCGTATCTGTTCCCAATTTTCTGTTAAAAAAAGTGGGTGTTACATGTGAAAGCACCGATCATCTTTCAACTGGAACTGTACGGTTCCATCTACCAGGGCTGATGCCGCGTTGTTGAGTTGTGCAAAAGCAAACTCCAAAAAGTCAATTTCTTCCTTTAGAAGAATTAATGTCAAAGCAAAATGAAAAACCAAGTCCATTAATAAAACTCAGCAAGAGGGAGATTGCAAGCAT